GGGGAGAACGTTCAGCATGGTTTACTCAAGATTGGCTACATTGATACGAAGAGTCAGCCTGCAGATATGCAAACCAAGGCGCTTGGAACCAAGATGCTCAATTTTCTGCGAGAGGCAACCGGCATCAAGACCAAGGCAGCAACAAAGCATAATCAACATTAGCGGTGAGTGGGAGTGTTAAAAGTACACCGCTGAATGCATGTGGATCATTACATGGCTGATTACGGACATAATGGTAGTCGCTCATTGGTCTAGATAGATAAGGTTACATTAAGAAGCTTCTAGAAGGATCTAGAAGGACAGGCTTAGAGGTAGCACAGAGTAGCGAACTAAGGACCTAAATATATTCACTTCGGTTTTTGCCATTTTCTCAACAGATAAACCATATATGTATGACGCACATGGCACTTTTCCTGGAAGACACCGTGTTGTTGAACAAATGTTCGGCATATTGGAGGCATTGCGTAGATTACTTTATGTAAATGGATGATAAGTGCTTATGTATGCATGTGTGAGGCGTGTCGAAGAGAGAAGAGATAGAGTGTCAGCTTTTTAGTATTGATTATCTCCGGGTAATAACATCATAATTGTCAGTAATACTGATTCAAAAACAGTAATCTCGCTGCTGTCACCAGCCCACTGCCGGTGAATATACAGCAAGATGCATTCAAGTCGAATGGAATCCCCCGCTCCACCCCCTCCATCTCTCTCCCTCCTATCTCTTCTCTTCTCTTGTTTACAGCCAGAAGAGATTTGTTGCACCATATTCGATATATTGAAAGCGGACCATCCAGACACCAATAATTAGAAGCACTACGTTGAAGGCATCGTGAACGATTTACATGCGTAAATCGACGACATCTGTAGAGCGACATGCTGTTTACGCCAATATATAAATGGTCTAACAGACTCCGCGTCATTTTAAAGCTTTTACAATGATTCCAATCTTCTTGCTAATATCAGCCCAATCGCACTTTGAAGCAAAACGATGGTTCAATCTGTCGCTAAAAAGCATGAGAAACGACAACTGGAGAAGTTTATGAAGGCGACAACGTTTAAGAAGAAGACAACGGTTTGAAACTGTATACAATTAACGAGCGGCGACAGCAACTGATTTGTTTGTTAAAAAACAGATTCTGCACAGTAGATTCGTGATCCGACGCAAATGAGGCACTGGACGACTTGGTTAAGGTACAACGCGAAGCTTGAAGATCGCTACTTTGCCGGGCAACTTATCAAAGCTTGATGGTAGACATTGGTCTAATATTGTTTGTGTGCTACAATTTTATCCAATGCCTGACGGTTTTTGAATTGTATTCTTTTGTGCGTCGATTCATATCCAAGCCTAGACAGAAACCCCGGGAGCCTTCATATGTGGATCTTACATACTTTTCGTTGTCAGCAAGTGTTAACGAAATTTTGTATGAAGTGCACGGCACCAGCCATGTACTGATAAAAGGTGTAAAGCACTTCTCATCCTGATTGTAATGGGAAATCTGCTAATTACAGGAGATCAAACATGGAGCTGAAATCGTTAAATCAGCTTCTTGATTTGAAAACCTTTTCTAGCTGCACAAGCATTCGGCGCATTTTACTTGAGAAAGATGTACCTTGATATTTTTGCTATGTCGGAAGCCGCAGCCTCAAATTCTGATGTCTTCAACGATGCCACGGCTGCCATCGTTTCGACTCTTGACACATTACTATGGTTTGGAAAGTGCAGGCTTTACTTAGCATTGGGTGTATTAAAAGTGGTACGTACGCAGGATTGCAATAGGTAGCCACTCATTAGCCAACAATACAGTGTTTTCTTCTCACTTGAGTCCATTGCTGATCGCTCAGGACTCACGCAAATGCTGATGAAGTCAACGTACTATATAGAAAGTAGAACGATGCTTACTTAATGAATCGAGCGCTGAGACGAAGATGATTGTCATAGTAAAGCTTTATCAAAGTTATATAAGTCGTCATCGATGACAAGGCCGTTAGTCTCATGACCGCTGATACTGCCTCCCTGACATCTTCTTCGACATCAACAATGTGATTTGTATGCAACACATCGTGATACCTGTTTATGCTCTTGTGGTCGCATACAACCTATAAAAACAAATCTTTCAAAGCCAAGATCGAACTGAACAAAAACGTTTTTTTACCTTAATTTGTCTGATCGAGCACCACTCTATCTGGAAACTTCTCCTTCTTCCTTCAAAAGGTAGCTCTCATACGACTTCATGAGATCGCCCTTAGGGTCGTCTGCGAGATTGCTCTTAGGGTCGTCCACGAGATTGCTCTTAGGGTCGTCCACGAGATTGCT